ATTTGAAAGCATTATTTAATGGATGTTACGAAAAAACTTACTATACAAAACAACACAATGCTATAGTTATAACTTTGACCTCCAAAAAATCAAACTAGCCTTTTCTCTCTGCTTATTTACACTTTTTTCTTTAATAAAGTGCTTTATTTATATTTCATATCGAAACACTATTTTTTTGGTAGATATCGTCCAACGGAGAAATCACCATCCGAAATTGGTACACCAGATTTCACACAACCATATGATCTCACAGATTTCACGGATTTCACAGACATTTTATGGATTTTCAAATCATTTTTACGAACAAAAAACCGCTACTATGAAACCTGTTGCTTTTTACAAAACTTCTGGATTTCTCCTGCGTCGGTTTTTGCTTAGTCGAAATTACTGACGTTTCGCCAATCATCCTGTTGGCTTCTTCAGAGATGGACTGAAACCGGAAGCTCTGAAGAAGCCAACAGGATGATTGGCGAAACGTCAGCAATTTCGACTAAGCAAAAAGTGACGCAGGAGGAATCCAGAAGTTTTACGGTAGCCTGTGGAAGTTTCTTTGAAAAATGAAACCTGTTTTTAAAAAAGACCATCCAGTTGGGTCAGTGTAAGCATTAAAAATAAGAATAGTTATTGAATAGGTAAATAAACCAATAAATAAAATAGCCATAAAAATTTTATTTTTATGATTTTTCAAACTTCTGCCTCTAAACTTTTTTTTAAATTATCGCATCACACACAGGGTGTCTCAACGGAGATGTCCACTTGCAGTTATTTTAAATCTAACAATTATTCCTCTTTTAAATTATTTGCCTTTATAACTTTAATTTAATTTATATAAAAGCGCATGTTTAAAACATTTAGGGAAGAATTTTGATAATTGAAGCGGGAAATAATTCGGAATAGTTGGGTTGAATGAATATTGCAAAAAATATACATTAAAGATGCCATTAATGAAGTTCGTTTAGTTTAACAATAGTATTTCTCGAAATTGGTCACGATCTAACGAAATGTTACACCTAAAGACGCCAATCTACAAACAACTAAAAAATATATATTTAATAATTTCGAATTTTTTTTTTATTTAAATTTGTTTTCATTGATGGAAAGAAATCAAAACTCCAAGGATTTTACAAATATTTCAGGGATTTCACAGATTTAACGGTTTCACCCCCTTTGAAACAGAAGAGAATTTTCCTATGATCATGTGACAAACGATGGATCAGTCCGTTATTGAGATGATCAGTTACACGGATATTTATTTTCTCCTTTTAAAATATAAAATCACTTTAGGTAATGTTGCGTGCGTCTTATTAAATTCTACGTAGACGCGTTCGTATTTACGCCGTATCTGTTCGCTTATCTTTCGAGTAACTCGAGGCTAATAGAATGAAAGTTTCCTAGATCCGAAACACAATATATCCTCGTTAAAACGCCACCCGTTCGTTGACTTTCTACTAGTTACGGGAGAGGTGTCACAAATCAAAATGTCACCGCGGAGATATGACGTTAACTTTTTTTACTTTTACGAAACTTAGAAACCACCAGCGTATACCAGCGAAAAGAAAACTGTTCCACGAAGACACAACAAACGGCGTTAGTTAAAAAATAAATAAAATTCGAAATCTGCCCCCCTAACAACGTAATTCTTTTTCTACTCCTTGATTAATTTTTAAAAACAACCGTTAACAAGGCAATACGGAAAATTATCCACAAATTCCGTTCCAATAGCTTTAATATGCAGTTATAACGATCGAGACAAATTATTGTTATTGCCCAACTCGTAAGTAGCTCTGATACGGTTCGATTCGTATTTGGGATTCAATGTACAAGTTTTTTTTTTAAATAGCAGGAGTAAAACGGGGCCCGACAGATAAAATGTTAATTATTAAATGTCCAACAGCCACAGGCCGTAGCTAGTTATAAATAAGCGTTTCTCACTGCCTCCCGTCGAGATTCCTGTGTCAATATCTTCGATAACCGACAATTATTATTATAACGGCCTCGCGGGTATAATTATTGCGATTACATAGATAACTACTTACATGTTCCCAGAAAATTCGCTAAACCTGTTCGCAGCAGAAAAAACAGAAAGACAATTACATTAGGGAAAAATGCGCCCGTTAACTCAAACATGCTAGATTAAGGTAGGGTCCATTCGGGTGCTTTGAAAATAAACATACTTATCGATTTACCAGCTAGAAAACCACCCTTACCCTTCACTGCAACAATGAAAATACAATCGATCCACAATGTTGCATATTTAGTTTGCAAAATCCACTGGCCGTTATCAGCGCAATATCAAACGATTTTTGATTGACAGGCCCGTGAATACTTCCGGCTTGAAAAAAGCCGCAAAACAATGGCTAGAAAAAAACAAGAGACGCATACAACGGCACAATTTCAAATGTGAGAACCGACTTAACCTAAAATTAACGATTTTTTATGACGCTTAATAAGTTGTTGCACTGGCGCTTCCGCTTTCTAAAAGAAAACCCGCCCCGTTATTATTGAGATTCCGATTTTTCGACTCACCTCAACTTTAAACCTCCTCACCCGCGATATTTCACAGTTAAAACACACGAAACACAACACAATTTCACGATACCTTTCACGCCACTGAGGATAAACATTCAGATAACGCCATATTGAATTTGCCTATCGCTCGGTCCGAACCGTTCGAGATATCTTTGTACTCTGCCGCGGTTACCCAGCAATTACGAAACGGGTCAAATAAATCCGAAACGATAATACGAGGAAAAATCAATCAATCACAGATTGGATTGTTCTAGTAGCGCGAAATAAATAGTTGAGTTTTTCGCGACTTTAATCGGATACAAAGCAACCACGAATCGACAACCAAGTTTGCCGCAGATGAGACGAGGATGGTAAATATCTAGCGAACGGCGGAAGAAATGAGATAGAACTACTAGGAAACGTCAAATTTATATTACAGGGTGAATTGAAATAATGGGCAAATAAACAGGAAAACTGTAACCAGGATATTTATTCACTTGCATCATATGAAGTGAAATAATCGACAATAGTGACGGAAAAATTAGATAAGACACTCGAAATCAAACGCAATGTAATATGTAACAATTTATTTAAACAAAAGTAAACGATATTGCTTAAATAACCTCACAAAAATTTCGATCACATATGACGGGTATGCTTAACCTATAAATGAGGCGTTCAGTGCAATAAGGGGCCAAGCCACAAATTTTTATATTTTGAACTAATAGTCGTAACACACAAAAAGTGAACGTTAGAATGGACTACACCACCTTTCCTTTATATTTACTAGATGGCAGCACATAAACCATTGATGCTTTTAAAAATTATCCTCAAATATTTACAGCGTGAATGGACTAAAACGGCTTTGTCCATTCCGCACTAGGCATTTTGAGGAGGAGTGGTAATCAGGTTATTTATTTTATTTTTTGAGATTATGTTAATTTGTCAAAACTTTTCAGATTTGAATGATAAAAGATCGTTTAAATCAGTGCGGTCTGTTCATTTGTGCACCGTTGTGTTTTGATCAGAGATTAAGCTGTATGGATAAATTTGTAAAACGGAACATAAGTTTCTAATTGAATTTTGAAGTCTCCTCAAAGGGTCTTTTCAAATACCTGCTTAACACTCTTAAGTCTGTTCGGGAACGGCTGAATCTGCTAATTATGGTTCTGAATACAGGAATAAGCGACACTTCCAGCGAAAATGGGTCAGATTTGGATCCTTCTGATGACAATCAAGCTGAAGCCGGCGAGAGTTTGGTTAGTTATGTAAAGAATATAACAATGTAAGAGATATTGTTGTACCACAAAAAAATAATTAAAGGCATGCCCTTGTCGTTGTAACAATAAATGCCATAGAAAAATAAACCAGAAACAACAAACACACATTTTCACTGAATTCTACAACCTCGATACATACGATATGCAATCTTCATTTTTATTTACTATAGTAACATTTTTTCAAAAACACGTCTATACAAAAAAATCCCAATTCTCAAAGACAAAAAACGCGCGTCTATTCTTTGTTGGATTCAACTGGAGCAGAAGTTAAGGTTTACAAGGAATTATTCCAAAATACAGTTATAGTGTCAGCTGAAAGAATTGACTCCACTTGCTTAAAGAGTTTAAGGTGAGATTTCCTGTATATGAAAGCTATTATGCCTTCCATAAATCGAAAAATCGTAAATATTTGCCTCTTGATTCAACCATTACCACAATGTGGGGAACAATGATGTGTCAGTATATCTTTTCCGATACTGAATACTTGCCTTGCGACTAAAGACTTGAAAAACAAATAAAATTTTTCCCTAACGTTTTTATTCCAGAGGAGTGGAGTAAGGTTGTTTTGGCTGCGCGCAAAAAAAAACCTTTAAAATTATTGGCATGGAAAAACGATTTTTTTTCCACAAAAAAATGGAAAAAATATTACACACCGAAAAATTTCCGTAAGTCTAAAGGCAAGTAGTTGAAGATCCAATGGGTAAGATTTTCTTCTGAGGCGGCATTTGAAATTTCTTACAAATGTTCAAACAACGATAGCGCTCGGTTTAGCAAACTCCTAGTGGAAATGACATTAATCCACTAAAAAAGAAAGATTTTTTAACCTTGCTAGATTATGCTCCTCCAATCTACCATGACTACTATAATGGATTTAAGACCAATTCCCAAAATAATGTGGATGATGTACTTTTAGTAGATGTGTCTAGTGATGAAGAATACATAGTTTTCTTTTGCATCATGCACAGTAAGTCCATGCGAAACGGACTGACCAATATCAAATTCACCAACATTTAAAAAATATATCCATTATGCACTAATAGGCAATACTCTTGCACAAAAATATTTGCTAATTGCTTTTGGTTTTTAAAGGCATTAGTATTTTTGGCTTAGTCTGTTATTGCACTGATGACCCCAAATTATCACTCAGTCTAGTTGTCTAGGTTGCGTATAGGGTGAGGGCGATTCGATTACAACACCAAATGGCCGATTTCGTCCGCACTGCGACACTAAACCTTGGACACTAAACTCGAACTAGCGTCCACGTCATCATCGACGGGATCTTTGACGTCGTTCACACTAACCGTACCGTTACTATTTGTATCGGAACTGACCAATGGCAACTGTCCACTGTTGGCATCTTCGATGGCTTTCCTCAGCTCCTTTAGGCCCACGACACCTACCAACTTCCCTATAGCGGTGACGTAGGCGTGGTTAACCCCCACCATAGAAAACAACGAGTGAACTTTGAGCAAAGAAGTCCTCTCGACCAGCTGAAATGGCGCCGGATCTATATGGCAGCTGGAAAAGTCGACCGACTGCCGCATCTGCTCGTCTTCCCACTTTCGCTGATCCTCCGTCGACATGTCGCACACCCGTTCCTTGGGCTGAAAAATTCACAATTACTCATTGAAGACGAATCTGGTCCAACCACCAACCGACCAACTGAACTTTTTTAGAAGTGGTTGGACTGAGCGGTGGCACTATCTCCGGTTTGCTCCCTACGTTGTTGAGTACCGGTTGATTGTCCGGGCTCTGGACGTCTTGCAGCTGAGCAGATTTCCTGGAAAACCAACGTTACGCCCGGCGCATCCACCTATTTACCGCCAATACCTGAAAATCGCTTCGAACGCGGATCGTATTCTACTTTCCGCGCCGGTCACCGTCGAATATGGCGTCGAACCGGGACTGGTCGACATGAATGGCGAGAATCCTTTCAGGGTGAACGAGTTGGTCTTTTTCAGGATCGATTTTTTAGGTTGAGTACCAAACACCGGGTTATAGAGGGTGGGCTGATCCAGATTATTTTCGGACAGTTGCTTCTGGAGCACGTCGGGAGCGGGACTGACTTGGAACCTCGACGGCCGCCGTTTCCTTTCTTCCGCTTTCCGCCACGCCTCTTCCCGCGCCTTCTCTTCTGCTTCCCGCTGCCTAATGGCAGCCACTTGCAGTCGCCTCTCTCGACCTATGTGCTTCTCGATCAACTGAGATGGCGACCAAACTGATTAAAAATAGTTTTTGGCCAAGACAGTGCGAAAAAAAGAAGACAGCGGAATTTGTGGGAAAATATGAATTGAAGGTACACTTTCTGAAGGTGAGGACATCTTGAATATCAGCCAGCGGTCAGCTGAGTGAGGAGGAGGGTTTAAAGGTTTTATTTAACTAAAATTTGTCGCGATAGACGTTCGAATTGTTCTTCTTTAAATATCATGGTATTTACTTCATACCAATGACGAAGATTTTTGGGCAAAGAAGTTCTTCAGCGACCAGAACCACATTTCCTTTCTATTTTTTCTTGAATAATTATATGGAGCAATCATGTTAAAAGATCAAAGATCCAGAATTAGACAGGATCATACGGGGTAGAAACCGATAGTGGATGCGACACACATTAGTTGTAGAGCCAAGAGAAGAAGAAGAATTAATATTTTGTAATTCTCATTACGTGGACAAAATACTCCAGCTTTCTTTTTATTACTTCTTCAAGTACCATTCTTTCTTTGTTGATAAGCTTCAGAACCCCTTCATTCGTCACTCTGTTCTATTAACTATTCTTCGGTAAGGCCTCAATCCTCCTGATCATTGTCCATACTTCCACTCTGTAGAATAATATGCTGAAGCAACACATTCTTATAGGAATCCTTAAAGTTTGGTTGGTTAAGTCAATTTGCATGTTCTTAAATGATGGTTTTACTTGCTCAATTCTGTTTTTGATTTCTTGTATATTTGTATATTTGCACCTTCCCCACTAATTCCTATAATTTTTAATCATCTAGTTGATATTTTTCGATCTGTTTCTCCGATTCACTGTCTGCAGGATATACTGTAAACTCTTCCTGTACGTATGTTGTTGATCGTTGACGTTTTGAGCATAGGGAAGTTACTACAGTGGCAAACAGAAAACAAATAATAGAGTTAGTTTCTGTAGTTTAGATAACGCATTAACTTCCTTTCCGCCACTTTCATTTTCATCTCTTTTTGTCATCGTCATGGTTTCTGCTGCATGCATAAACTTGGTCTTATTATTGTTTTGTAAATATTTTTGAGGTTTTTGATAAAATCTTATTCTTTAACAGGTTCTTATTATCTGTTGGCTGACGCTATTTTTTCTTAAGTTTCAGCATCTCTTTCTACTATATGAGATACCATTACTCTTGAGTATTGGAATTTGTTTACTACTTCGAAGCTGTTATTTCCTATTTTGATGACACTAATATTAGTTCTTCCTCTAGGGGGTCATTATTTTCATTTTCTGTTATCCTGTTATTATTATTTGAGGTATTTGATGAATTCTTATTCTTTAACAGGTTCAGTTTCAGCATCTCTTTCTACTAAATGAGATATTACATTACTTTTAAGTATTTAAATTTGTTTACTGCTTCGAAGAATCAACCCCAAACCAAACTAAAATATCTGAATCTAACTTAATGAGGAAAGACGAAGAAAGAAGCAAGCTGTTTGTATGTTTGGCAAAATTTAAGGAAAAATCAATACCCTACACAAAGACAATTCACAGAAGTGTACCTTCGTTCGTCCAACGCATCCACCAAAAAAGATTTTAAAAAATATATTTCACCTGTATGAGTTGAAGCCTCTGAATTGAGCCCAAGAGAACCATACTTTCAGGCTTGTCCACCAATGGAAAGCTCTGTAACCGTCTGTTCTCTTTGAGGAGCTGTTTCAGCTGGTCGTACGACATTCCGTAGAATATGTACTTGATGTCCCTTATCATGAAGTCCTCTACATAAATATTGTACATACCTGCGGGATGTATGATTTAAACCAAGGACGCGATGCCGTAAGATGATTTCTTACCGCTACTACTGGGCAACAAGTCGGGCAAATACGGCAACCTCTTTATGAGAATAATGCTGTCGTAAAGGCTGGGCGCCAACAGGCTAGCGATAGCGTTCGATATCAGCACAGCGATCATGATCGGTATAATGTGAGTGATTTGTCCAGTCATTTCGAATACTATCACAGACACAGATATAGTATGAGTCACCGCTCCGCTAAAGGCGGCCGCCCCCACTGTGGCGTACCCTCCGGGGATGATTTGAGCTATGTTACCGCCGTATCTCATACCTAAAACAGGCTATATAGTGAGGGGAATAAAAAAAACACTTCGAGGAAGGTGTACCGTTGGGGAACCACATGTGCATCAGTTCTCCAACGATCCTACCGAACCCAGCTCCAATTTTGAACACCGGTATGAAGCTACCGCTGGGAACTGGTATTGTAGAACAGATAATCGACCACAGGAACTGCAAAGGAGTTAAATCTGTGCCGAAACGTCGCTAAAATTCGACCAGCTTACCGTAAAAGCTACGTAACAACTTAAATTAAACAAAACTCCCGAATATTCAGTCTTCCAGTGCTTGATAACGCTCTCCTCGAACGGCGTGTGGTTAGTCTTGGTCCACGTGAAGTTACTAAACAAGTTGGTCACTTGAGCGTGCCCCGTCAGATCACCTACAATTGAAACGCGTATGGTATCCTACCCGCGTGCGCCGGTTACAAAAATTAACTACCAGCAATAAATTGACCGGTGCCCAACGGGAACGTGATCGTCGCGACCAACAGAGAAATGATGCCCGGGTAAAGAAAACGGCTGAAACGATAAAAAACGCTAGCTTAAAGGGAGCTTAAGAAACGCTACGGATCTCACTTTTTCTGCAAGAACTTGTTGATCGCTTTGCTATTGCGCATGAAGATGACGTACTTCCGATGAACCCACACGTAGAACGAGCCACCCAGCCCGCAGAATGCTCTGCAATTTCAAACAGAGCCAACCTAAGTTTAATATTTCGCTATAAAATGATTTATCTTACTGCTAAATCAATCAATATACTGGGTGCCACGAAAATGAAAGAGTTATACTTCGTTTCTTAATGCGAGAGAGTAGAGGAAATGATGGTTATAAGTTATTGCGGCTCTTAGTTTAGCCTGTATTTAGTTTAGTTGTTTTGATTGACGGCGCACACTTTTATGAGGGGAGCACCTCTACGTCCAATAGGCAAAGTACATCCGTCTGGATGGATTCAAATTAATTTAATCACAGAGTGGTTTAAGCACTTTATTGAATATATAAAACCATCTGAAAAGACGCTAGTCTTGCTAGTTTTTAATGGGCATTAGAGCCAAACAAAAAACGAGATAATCAATTTGTCAAGGTTCAACCTTTGGACAGATCATTTATGGGACCTTTAAGGTCATATTATAGTGAGCAGATACGCACGAAAAAAAAAAGCCTACGAAACTATCAACCCTTTTGACAAAGTATCAACCCCTTTGATACATATGCTTTTAGTGAGGAACAGGAAAAACAATTACAAAACGGTACAGTTCAGCAATTAAACAAAAGTGATGTGGTATCGGTTGATAAAGGCGAATCAGGTGACCTAAAATTATGCTATGAAGCAGAAACCGAAGTAGAACAATCTACAGAACAGGAACTGCCATGTCTGTCCCAACAATACGGCAATGGGGCTCTGATTTGTTTCTGACGTATTCTGATATTTCACCGGTGCCATTCCCGAAGAAGAAAGACTAGAGGTCGAAAAGCAACAAAATCAACAATTGTCTCTAGTTCTCCATAGAGAAGAGAACTAGGCAGCAAAGAGAAGGAGCCAGCAATGAAAAAAAAAACACCAAATAACGTGGTTAAATTAATTTTAAATGAGAGACTATTAAGAAAGACAAAAAAAAAACAAAAAGATGTCAGAAAGGAAAAAGAGCTAAAATCAGAAGACCTACAAACAGATGTTGATTTAGACAGAGAGTCAGAAGTTCAGGAGCCGATTAAAGAGTTTTAATCAATTTAAGCCAATATTGTCCGGGTCTCTCACTGCTACAATCAATCCTTTGTAGAGTACCTATTACTATATACATTTGTAAGAATTTATACTATATGAAAAAATAACTCACCTAAAAGCAATCGCATATAAAACGTATTTTTACAATTATATGTAGAGTTTTTTTATTAGAGTTGATGCATAGCCCATTTCATCTATAAAGCCTCTAAGATATAATATGCAAGGTCGGTGGGTTTTCCGGAACCACTATATATAAACTTAACAAGATTGCTTTCGAAAAATCGTCGCTGGGCGTAGCGCCTAGTACGAAGCAACCGTTTATTATAAAAGGACATAACTTCGGGTTTCGTATGGTAAAAGGGAGGCATTGTTTTTCTATCCTGCATGCACCCTGTTTTGTCACACACGGTTTACGGTTATGGTTATCCCATCTTCAACGGTTGTTCATTTATCGCCAATAATTTATCCCATAAACGACACACCCTGTATATGATTCAAACAATGTTCGAAGTAGAAGTTATAGCCCTGGATCTTCCACGTTTCCCGGTTCAAGAATTTTTTGAAAATAGTAAATGGTTTTCGAGAAAATAAGTTTTTTCTGAAACCATGCAGTGCGTCGTAATAATCAATGACGTCATCGCGTCTTGACAGTCCGCAAATACAAAAATTGTAGCTCTTGATGCGGCCTATAATACTGTTTGAACCGATTAGCCATATTTTTTTACGATTTTTGATTTACTGCTAATAATTTACTCTGTAAAAGAACAATTTTCTAAGTCTTTTAGATTTTTGCCAATAATTTGAAAACCCTGTATATAATCGAAAAAATGCCTAAAATAAATCTTATTGCACTGGATCTCCCGCGTCTACTGGTTAAAGAATTTTGCCAATCGGGTGAACAATTATAGAGTAAAACATATTTTTCTTGAAGCTAAAATTACCAAAAAAAAAAAAAGAAACATTTTTAAAAAATACTTGGTAAAATTTGATTGCACCCAAATTCACCCAACTTTTACTTCTCTGCTAATTTTGAAGTTGATATCTGCAAATTTAGAACACTGAAAACATTTCTCATTTAGCACGGAATATCGGGAACACCCTGTACAATAGGTGAAAACCTTAAATACAAAAGTTTTTGCTGTCTATGCGGGCTATATCGCAATATACAAGAAAGGGAAATCCAAGTCATAGCCTTTCAGTTATACCCATTTTTCAGTTTTTTTGATTTTGCGGCGCACCCATAACTTCTTACCCAATCAACGCGAACACGAACAATTCCTGAGGATCGAACGGAAAGTCCATGTAAAAGTTGGTGCGAAAAACGGCGGTCACAGTATCGGCGCTCTGAAACCAAACGGCCAAGAGTCGAAACGTCGTGGCACCGCACACAGCGGCGAAAAAACCACGCCAATAGTTACGGACCGCGAAGTAAGTCGTCGTTACTTCGATGCTGAACAGCACCCCTGCAAGAACGTATATCTTTAATGTAATTTTTTCCTGGTGGGCAGTCGGAAACGGCGCGAAGCTCTGACCTCCCACGGGAGCGGCGAAACAGCTAGCCACCCCTACCGCGCACGCCGCTGCCAACATTTCGGTAGTTCTGCTCTCGTTTTCGTAGATCCCTTGGAAGCCGGTTATTAGCTTGCTGAGCAAAGTGGCCGATATGCTCGCTATGTGCACGAAAGGACCTTCTTTACCCAACGGCACGCCGCTGCCTGCGTTGCGGGAGAAAAAATCGTCAAAATTTAGCGATAGTGGGTAGTCACACATCTGCACCAAACGTTGTGTAAACAAAAAATAAAGACGATGAATGTTCGACAATCTGTTGTTAGTATTTCCACCTGTTTCGTAAGGAGAAAGAGTTATAATTCATTATTGAACCTATGATGATTGCCAAGGGTCCGGAGAGCGCAAAGTAGAAAATTGTTATTGGCGTGGTTTGTTCTTTAAAATTTCTAATGCTTCTGAATTTGTTGTTGAGAAAGGGGTAAGTAAAACTGCGCTTTCAAAAAATGAAAAAAAAATTGAAGTTAAGTGATAAATGTCCCAACAGATAACAAGAAGTAAATCTTCTCCTGGAACAAGCCTAATAGATATACAAAGAACGTTGTTTTTTTTTTTAAGAAACTTCCACAGGCTATTTACAGAACTTCGGGATTCATTTTGTGTCGATTGTTGTTGAATCGAACTCGCTGACATTTCATCCTAATTGAAAAATGCTTATTTGGAACATAGTTTTGTTATAAGGATCAAATTTTTGAACAAACGTCGTGAACAGCTGTGAGCTCTCCATTATCACCAGTAATCGCGAATATATCGCCTTTGAGAAAAAAGCTCTCGACACCTTCCATCTAAAACCAAAATGACGGAAACGCTACGTTGGTGATACTTTTGTTTTTGGCCTCAAGAATTCCTACTAGATTTTCTTTAAACTCTATACACCCTTAACATATGTCTCACTGTTAAATTAGAAACTAATAATAACCTCCCATTCTTATCAATAGAAAATCAGACCTAACATTCGGTCATTGTGTTTACAGAAAACCTACGCGCACAAACCGATACCTTAATCCTCAACCTTAAACTTTAAAAATCAACTCTCTTGTTTACTGAGCCCTAAAACATCTGCCCTTTGCTCAATCAAAAATACACATCACCACAACCGTCCACAGACAATGAGTCCGGAAGCAACCTCACACTTGCCACTGTTGTCCTCTTACCTTACTTTCAAAAAATCACTGACCACATATCGAAGGTTCTTAAAAAATATAACGTCAAACCCCGATTTACCGCTTGTCCAAAAGTCTGTCACCATCTTCGATCCGTCAAAGACAGCATTCAGAGAACTTATAACTCACTCACGTCTCGGGTCTTTACTTTTCACCGTTCTTGCGTTTCCCTCAAACAATACGAGGTGTGTTCAAAAAGTAAGGCGACTTTTGTGATTGTGCTGGCTACGCATATTCGAGTTTCGATATTTTTTTTTGTTATGTTGGTACACATGTCCTTAGTTTCGGCCAGTTTGCACATTTACTTTTTTTGACACAGAAGCGTTAGACGTGATTGTGTTTGGCGATTTTCTGCTTTTAAAAAAATGGAAAAAAGAATTGGCATATAATTTTGTGTGAAACACTTAAAATGTTGAGGATGATAAGAAGCTGTTGCAAGATGGCCGAGAAAATGACGAAACTCGCTCTGGACACCCCAGCACGTCAATAACTGATGAAAGCGTTGAAGAAGTGAAATGAATCTTATTGAAAAATCGTCGAATCACTATTAGAGAAATGGCTGAAGATGTCGGCATCTCTATTGGCTCGTGCCATACAATTTTTACGAAGCTTTGGGCAAGAGTTCTTACCAGAAAGTCGTACGGTCAATGAAGAGCTATACGTCGTTTGCGAGGAACAATACGAAAAAAACGTTGTGTAAAAACAATTCATAGATTTTGCATCACGATAATCCACCTGCTCACTCATCGTTGCTTGTGTCTAACTTTTTGGCCAAAAACAAAACCACAATCATGCCTCAGCCATAATATCCACCGGATATGGCCCCTTGAGGAGGTTTTGAACGATTGAAAGTATTTCGAAGATTGGAAAAAAGATTGGCACAAGTGTATTATATCTGAGGGGATTACTTTAAAGAGGACAATATTAAATTTGATAAATAAATAAATACTTTTTGTTAGAACCTAAGAGTCGCCTTACTTTTTGAACACAGCTCGTACAGTAAACATCTTCCGGTCGTAAAAACTCCAAAATATTCTTTTTTTTTAACACACAGCACAACTCATTGTTAGCATAATATATTAGAGAATGGTTCAGATACGTCAAAAATAAGAAATAATAAATAAATACTTTTGGATAAAACTTAAAAGTCACCTTACTTTTTGAACACACCTCGTATAAAAGTAGCTACAGAGTGCAATTCGGGTCAGTTTCAGTTAAACTTTGAAGAAGCCAACAGGTCGATTGGCGAAACGTCAGCAAGTTCGACAGGAGGAATTCAGAAGTTTTGTAAATAGTAAAGTACATTGTATACCGAATTGCTCTGAATAGATAAACATTGTTATTGTATAGAAATATCTATTGTTTAAAGAACCCCAATAAATCTCATGAATCGAGACGGATTTTTTTCCAATGCCAATGTTCAAGTTGAAATAAATTTCCTCTTTCAAAAACCTAACGTAACTTAAAGTAATATTTATTACATTTTTAAGTGGTACAGGAACGTGGACGGATTTTTTTTTTCAAAAACAAAACGCGTCACGAAAAAACCCGAAAATGCACAAAAAGTATTTTGAATAGCTTAATCTATAAAAAAGTTAATTATTCAAACAAAAAGTAGTATACAACGAAGTTTTCTATAAATATTAATTAGATTACTCTCTGCGACGCCCCTGGGATTAACACTTTTATTCTAATCGCATTAAAAGAAATCGTTTATTACCGCAAATTAGCGTGCCAAGCTTAATCAAAATCAGAAAGGAGATTTTTGAAAAATTAATTAAAAAAAAATCATTTCCACCTGAACAACCGATCTTAGATGTTTGACGGTTTAACCCTAGGTCACCCAGTACAGTTTAACCTGATCGGTTAAAAACCATATTTGTTGTCTTGTTGTTACAGGGCGTGTTACTTAAGAACTCAAGTACCATCCAAATATTTTCTGCTTTACCAGAAACATTTTCAAAAAATCTGGGTCGCAGTTTTTGTTCGATTTATTTTATATTTATATTGTAGCAGACAAAAAAAGAACAGAGATATTATCAAAAGATAAAATTCATCATATGTTATTATAAGACAAGCAAATATGAGCACCCAGTTTTTTGACATGAGTAACATTTCCTTCCATATTACTTATAATTTCGCCATTATACACATTAAACTTTAATTTATTTCGTCAAAGGAAACTTTCTGATTTTACCTTACGAACTGTCAGGATAGAAAATATAAAAATCATTCCACATTAAATATAACATTTTGACACACGCATTTTATCACTTATCTGAAATATATGTGACTCTATCAAGCGTTTTTTAATGCTTTTCCAAACATATTTGAATACTCAATAAAACACGAGTTCAACTTAGGTTTTTTACGCAGTTAAACCAGTGTTACTCTTTACTGTGTTCAACTCTTCGTTTGCTCATTGCTTCATTTTTCTCTTGCGATAATTCTGTGAGTTGACTGACTTGAATATAATAAATCATAAAACCCTATTGTAGACAATACAATATATATTTTGTCACGGTTTACACGTTTTGTTACACGTGAATGTTTTGTCAAGATTTACGAACCACGGAACATGTTGGTTGGCATGGTAGGACAGTAGTTCAAGCGAATAATCAGAGGTGGCAGTATCGGTACACCTAACCCAGTTTTTAACTTTCGAATGGGTTAACAAAGAGACTCTTGTTAAATTTCTGATAACAAGATTTGAAGCTTGAAGATGTCACACCAAAAAAAATATTTTTTGAAGACGCTATAGTTAATTCAAAATGGCCGCGTTCATTATTCCGACCTACGACTCTTTTTTTCGTAACATTTAACCGGTAAATTCTGTGTGGGTTTCGGAAAGTATTATTTTTATTTTGATTATTTTTATTTGAGTTATTTTGAGTTTGCCTTTTTCAGAGGTAAATTATTAGCTGTAAATAAAAACTGGCGAAAAATGCGGCTTTATGTCTATATTTTTTATATGACTTTGAGGTTAGCTCGAGTGCTTATTTAAAAGGCAATTTTGCGGAAATTCCATAGTGATCTGCAGGAGCACGATGGAAAAAGAAAAAAAGAAAGAAATTGAAAGCCGCATAGCGCGAACAAATTAATCGCGCTGGGGCCAAACATCAAAACAAAAATAACAAAAAAAAGCGTATACCTCGTAAGACACCGCCCGGGAAAATTCTTCTTCATTAGAACTCGTTCCTAAGAGAGGTACTATGAAAAGAAAATGATAAATGACTGGATGGTTGACGATGCGAAACGGGAATAAATTCCAACTTTACCTAGGGTGGCGGTTAGGCCGACCACTTTCGCGATCAGGGTGCGAAACGTAAGGTATTCCTTCAAGGCGACGCCTCGAAGAATGGTCTTCATTTCGGGAATTCCGGAACCTTAAACGCAAATCAACTCGTAAGTAGGTTTTATAGTATAGCTGAGCGTCCCACCTATCGATTGCGGCGCCACCAGGTGGACGAAACCCGCACTAAACAGGATCAAACACACCGAGAGGGACACCCACGACGCGTACTGCGCAGCGGGATGATACGTCAGGTCGTTGTACAACCATATCCTCGCTACACGACACACCAATTGCAAAATGAACTAAAAATAAATAGCGTAACAAATACCTGTATTGCACATGGATATACCGCTATCCATGATAAAACTCAGCACGGCCATTATGATGCCCAACAGGGCGAGGAATACCCAGTCCTCGCCGAGCCTCGCGAACGTGTGTTTCCATAGGAACGAAATAGATTTCGCTAGTTTTCCCTGGTATCCTCTGAGCTCCTTTTTGCGAGCCTTTTCTTCTTTCAGTCGCCGTTTCTCTGCCGCTTTTAGCCCTTCTAATTTCGCAAATTCTCCTAATTGCCGGCTATACCGGCCATACATCTGAAAGTGATAGGGTAGTTAGTACCAAAAGTCAATTTATGGGATTGGCCAATTGACAGTGTTTCGCAAAATCAGTGATTTCGAAGGTAAATAGTTTTAATTGGCTATCATAATTTCGCTGCTCCTAAAACCTCCAAATTAAACTCTGTGGTGGGAGTAGCACTTCGAAAGGAGCTATCGTTATTATAATTAAAAGGTTTATCCGAATATTATACAAGCATCTTTAATTATTATTAAGAAAATGATCTACAATGTTTAAAAATTGTCAAAAATTACAAAACAAACTTGTCGTATGCTGCAGACGAAATTATTTATAAAATGGGGAAAAACATTGTTACGACGAAAGGCAGATTTCAGTTGGTGCCAAACATGTTCAATGGGATTAAACATACAGTGGTAAAATGGAACTGTAAGCCCTAGATTTTTTGCATAATTATCATAGATATATTCCTTTTGTAGGTTCAAGCTTTGTTGAGCCTCATTTAATTGGTTTTTGGTATAATCTTCGTGAAAATAAATGTCGTTATTATACATGTCGTTTTGGATTGTTGCTTTTGTCACATAAGGAAGGGGTTTTAGTCAACTGTCTACTGTGAGAACTTGCATTGTCCATTACAATTACGCTATTAGGAGGAATGTTTGGAACTAGTTTGTTTTTAAACCAACTTTCCTCTCATAACTAGTAAATTTTACGTCGTATTATATCTTGATCACTTTCATCTACACTCGAGAAAATGTCAGCATCGCTTCTTTTTTTCCTCGCTGAAATGGGATTATTCACAATTTTCCATACAGTTGATGTTGGAATTTTCGTCAATGTGGCCGTTTTTTCTAAAGGTACTTGCTTGCTGGCACCACTTTCAATGAGAGTCCAATAAACATTGTTTATAATTTCCTTAGTCTCAATAGAATAGTGTTTTCTACATTTGGGCGAGAGCATCTCCTGATATGCACTAGACTCGCACATATTTTTGCATAATTCGCACACGATTTAACACACGCTGTATTACACACGAAATAAGAATGATTACTAATAAACATAAATTATTTTCTCTTACGGCCCACAATTTTACCTGAATTTAAATTCCGAAACTTTAGGTAATAATCTTGTTGCATTGTATGTTAATGACCACCCTTGGATAATCCCATTCAAAAGCAATTAGTCACTTTCTTATATCTATGAACAGACCATACCACTGTAAATTTAATGCCATAGGATCGTTGTGACCTCAGTGCAAAATTTTTTTAATAAAAATATAGGCAAAGCAAGATGATACTTCAGCAATATTTATTTGGAAGGCAGCATTCTAGAGAGTTATCAAAGAAAGTTGGATCAGTTATATAACACACGCAGAAAATATAATAAAAAAAATACTGAGAAAAGGAGAATACACTTGATATAAAGGTGCCACCACTTCAAATTAATATAGATAAAGGATCACTTTCATCGCAAATAGAAAATAATTATGGTTTACTTGTATATTGCCGACTATGCCATCACAAATCGTGCTGACTATAGTTATTAGTTTGGTTATACAGTTAGTTACAGTTATAAAAGCTTGTTATCAGCCAGTTTTCTGGCAAGCCCCTGTATGAAAGGATTTAAATTTGGCAGACAGGGTTAAAAAATCCACGCTTATCCTTTCGTTCGATACGAAATTTAGTTGACTGTGAATATAATTTTTCGATTAGACAAATTAATTGAAAGTAGTCCAAATGGAGAAGCTTAGGTTTAAAATAAATACATTTATTGAAATTTGAAAAAATTGAAAAATGTCAAATTAAAAAAAAATCAAAACTCAAATTCTGGAAAAAATATTAAAAATCACTGTAATTTGTTTTCTATTTTTAATACTTTAGCAATAACGGTAAATTACGAAAAAAAAAACGTCCGTGTAAATTCTAATAAAAAAATTAATTCGTTTCAATACAAGATTTTTTAACTAAAAAGTAGATAATATGAAAGTAAAATAGCAAATTATTATTTGCACCAGCGACTACAGGGTACTATCAAAAATGAATTTACCTAAAGTTATGCAAAAAAAAACAATTTGAATTATGCGCTAAATATCTTAAAAGAAATAGTTCAATAATACCCTAGTTAGGAGTGCATATCTTTAAAGGTTATCAACACACTCGAGACAAGGAAAAGAGAAGAGAATGAATGAGAATGAATAATCTGTTTATTGGCCCAATTATTTTTTATCATTTACTGCAAATTTTAGATTATATATTTGTTTGGTCATTTGAGATCAACCATTTGAATTTTTAATTTGATTTAAAAATTTTTAAAGGACATCAAGAAATTTCAATCGGCACATTTCGTATATAAACAGGGTGTCTCAAAACAAATGCGAAAATCATAAGAAGGCGATTCCATGTTTAAAATAAATGGTAGATTAATGATAGTGTGATACAGTAATAGTTCCGTAATATTTAATCGTTCCATTTATTTTCATTTTTAAGATAAAGAATAAATACATTATTTTTCCGCCATATTGTGACCTGATATCTCCCCAACCTTTATTTTAAACAAGGAATTAACCCCTTCATTTTTTCAAGCAAGCGTTTATTCTAAGACAACTGCAAATGGTTCAAATTAAATAAAATTGTTTATCTGACTTCCTGTTTAATGCTTACGGTTGCTATATTTATGTGTAATATTATTGGTTGACACAATAATGACGTCACCCATCGCCCAAGATAGTTTGAGATTTTGTACCCTTGTTTTTTATTAAACATTATTAAATTATAAGAAATGATGTTTTTCTTCATCTGAGGAACTGTTATCTCCTGACGTTATCCAGTAGTCACGATCCCACATTTTCTCCTTATCTTTAATGACATGTCATTTCTTTGGTCTGACTTCCTCAATGGCTTTAGCTTATGTTCAGAAAATATATATCAAGGGAAGGTCACAAACTTTTCACTTGAGGGTTTTATCGCCGACTCAATTAAGCCTACTTCTGGAGTCCACAAGGTTTACAATATCCGCTCATATTTTTATCATTGCAAATTTTGGTTTAATCATACGACTTAAAATTATTTAAAAGTGTTCAAGATATCACTGATATTCTAAAGATTCAAAGTGATCCAGACAGGTTGGTGAAATTCTGTGACGAAAAGAGTTTGTTTTTAAATTTGGTTAAATGCTAGTGGCTAACCTTTACACGCAATAAAATTAATTTCACGTCTTATTATAATATTCCAAATGTCTCTTTGTCCGAGATTGAACAAATTCGTGATTTCGACATCCTGATAGATTCAAAATAATTCTGTACGACTTGAATATAGATATGATTGCACATAGTGCCTGTAAAATGTTAGGTTATGTGTTACGTAGATCCGCGATTTTTTGAAAATATCAAATGAATTATTTCTTTATACAATTCTTTTATTTTTAGCAACCGAAATTTGGTTAGTGTTATGGGGGATCCAAATTACGCTATATCTATGTGAGAAAAATTCAAATAGGTTTATAAGATTTATATAATTCAAGTTAAATCTTTGGTACAGAGAAGATATCTGGTTTTTGTATAAAATTCTTAATTCTAACATTAATAATTCTGAGGTTATCCCGTTGGTTTGCTTAAATATACCTCAAGTTAGTTAATATTCCATGCAGTGAATTTTTTAATATTCTTTTAAAAAAAAAAATAACTCTGGAAATCATTCACCCTTATGTCGAATTGCAAGAAGGGCCAACGAGGGTTCTAGTCTTATCGCTTTTCTCACTGCACAACTCTGAAAAGTCAACTACTTGAATTATGTTAATAATTTTATGATTATAGTTCTTATGAAATAATTTCATTGTTCGCTTCCTTGACACATTTGAGTCATTTGCAGAAATCCCGATACAATTAGCTAATTACCTAAAGTACCTGGAATTTTCTTCGCCACGTGGATTTTCTGCCATTCTAAATAAGTGAAAGAATTAATTATAATTATTTATTGGAAAAGACCGAGATAAAACAATTGCATTTATGATTTTTGTCGTCGATCGATAGCCCAAATTTAGAATGCATTTCACATACAAAGATATCCGCGGTTTTATGGTGCTATAAATTATTCGGTGGAAACTATGATGGTATGTAGTTATACAGCAAAATTTTTAAAAAGTAGAGCTGGAAAGGAACCATAAAATATTTGGAGCGAAGAAAAAAATATGACAAAAAACAAGAACGGACAATTGTTGAATTTTGTTTAGCTTCGACGTAAATGCTTGTTTTAAACATATTTCCCCTGTAACGGTAAAATTTATGAACAAATAACAATCATCGCGAATAGATTTATGGAAGTTATGAAGAAGAAAGCCCTCGACGCTTTTCATCTAAATTACTTTTGTTATTTGGCCTCGGGGTCACGTTTTAGTATTTTATTAGTATCTAATAATAATCGCCCATTCATAACATTAGGTCATTTTGTTTACAGGAAACCTACGCACACAGACCGATACCTTAATGCACTGTCACGTCACCATCCGGCCCCAATATCATCGGTTATCAACTCATTTGTTTAGAGAGGCGTAAAACTATTTCAACCCAAATCAATGAACCCAGAATTGCATCTGCTCTTCCTTCAATAATTTCCCTTTGGGGATATTAAGCGTTCCATCACATAATACACTTCACAAAAACCTCCAAAAGACAATGAGCCCGAAAGCAACCTCACATTTGTCACTGTTCCTTACATATTACTGGCCACATATCAAAAGTTCGTAATAAATATAACGTTAAAACCAGAATTACCACTTGTCCAAAAATCTCTCAACTTATTCGATTCGTCAAAGACAAAATTTCTTTTAAGATACCAGGGGTTTCCAGTATTTCATGAGACACCGGACGAAAAATATGAACTAGGCTCAAAGAACATGAAAGAGCCTTAGAACTACGACAAATAAACCCATCAGCAGTTCCCTATCATCAAAGATTATTGTGGACTTTATGTCACTCGTTTTAACATATCAGTTAAATTGAGGAAAAAGTCCGCGATCATTGGAA